TATATATATATATGCGTATTCATGTGTGCATATATGTGTGTGTTTTTATTATTTGACCACTTAAAGTGGCTTTGACAGACGTTAAGAAAAAGCAATTCTTTCTTTTTGCTTTTTCACTGTATTGACCAACGGATGATTGATTATTTCAGATTTTATAGATCATAGAAATCGGGATCAAATTCTAGTCGGTTTCAGCTTCTGTCCAAATTTATTCTTTTTTTTACAAGTTCCAGTTCTAAGCACTGTTGCTTTTGTTGGTTGCATACCATACAAGGTTTGCTTTTAATCTACTTATCGTTTTCTTGTCTCTAAAACTGTCTCGAAAATGACTAGCGAAAGTTTGACGGAATGATTTCGTTCAAAATAAGATTTTTTGGAGGCTTCGCCAAAAATAACCTTATTAGATTTTTAGATTTCACCTTTTCTTCAACTTTTTTTCTTTGCCTCACTTCGTGAACTTTCATCACTTTTGTTTCGCGTTTTTTTTTTTGCACTTTTCTTGCTTAAAAACCAAAAAAATGTTTAGTTTTTACATCAGTAACTTTTCGTAGCTGTTAGTGGTTTTGATTTTTTTTGCACTTTTCTTGCTTAAAAACCAAAAAAAATGTTTAGTTTTTACATTAGTAAATTTTCGTAGCTGTCAGTGGTTTTGATCGGTTTATTGGCTTTAGTTATATTTGTTAGTTTTTTTTTGTTTTTAGCTGCTATATGTAGTTAACAGGAAAGGAATAAAACTTCATATTTGAGGGATTGGCAGTGCTTATATGTTTATTTCTTTTGCGTGAAAAATTTGTCTCGGAAGATTGTCACTGGGTTATTTATAATGAGAAATTTTTGGGTTTTTTCGCGAAAAAAGTCTGTTTTTTTTTTGCTATTTTTAATAGTCTTTTTGGAGTTGAAAATAGCGTCACGTTTATTGTCATTTTTCTCTTTCTTCCAAATTTGAACTTTAAGTTGAATTAACGTTTTCACCGTTATTTTTTTATTTTGCTATTCGTTAATTTTTACTTCTTTTATTTCTAATTTTATTTTATTTTTTTTTTCTGCTATTATTTCATTTTACTTGTCTACCACTTTAAGAAGTTCTTTTTTTTGGTAACGGGATGATAATCAGTTTGCTTTGTTTTATTATTGGTTTTTTAATTTTTTATTTTTCAGCGTTTGCCCACTGCTGGTTGTGTAAAAGCTGCAATTCTGCGAAGATTTTTTACCGGATAGGTCGCTCGGCGGCCGTTTCCTACGATGTTGGGTGCTACATGAGTTGTGTAAACGTAGTTCAGTTTCGCTTTATGAAGATTAAGGGAATTTTTTGTTGATTAAGAAGTGACAACGATATTTCCTTTCGGATGCGACAAAAGTAATGGGTGCTTCAACGCAAAAAAAGTAAGTTACCTTTGCCTTCAGAATACTTGTTTTCCTTTTTTGCTTTCTAGATAACGCTACCTTGTAAGTGCGAGTGATTGACGTCTCTTTGTTCATTGTTGCGTTTGTCTTCTTTTACATTCAGTTATTATTATTTTTAATTCTGTTTTTATTATTGCTACTGAAAGTATTATTATTGTTATTGTTACTGTTATCATTATTATCGGTATTATCAATATTGTTTTGTCATTTTATTATTTTATTATCAGTAGTAGTATTAGTATTAATTTTAGTATTATTGTCACTATTTTAATCTGCTCGAATAATAGGGGTTGTGCTTTTTGCGGAGCTCTAGAAGCGCTGGATGGTGGACCATTAGCACCATGTGCAGACTGTAATATGGCAGCGTATTGCGGAGAGGAACATCAGGCTAGTTAATGATGCTATTTTTTCGGTGAAAATTTTTAATTTTTTGTGACTGCTCGAAGCTTTTTTCCCGCTAAGAATCTTCTGCTCTGAGGCTGCTTACCTGGTTATCAGAAATGTCAGCTGGGGATCATATCATAATATTTTGGTTTTTTGCTTTGAAGTTATTGATCCAGTTAACGATAAAGAAAGGTTTTTATTCTTGTTGTGACGGTAGTACCTCATAACTTTAAGCAGTGTGGGACGGTGCACATGAGTTGGCTGTATCAGAATTACAACCAGTAAATCACGTTAAAAGTGGGTTATGCAAAGAAGTATTTTGAGTACATTGAGAGCAGCGGGACGCATGCTTAGCTCGTGCAAAGGTGCATGCTGCATTATTATACTCTTTTCTGTGTGCACTTTTGACGACAGAAGTGCACTTTTGATGACGCTTTGTCAGAGGTTTGAAAATCGATTGATTGGGTTTTTGGTCGCTTACGTGCAGATTCTCTGCTATTTTTTATGACAGTGTAGTTGTTTTTGGATACATTTTTGCAGTTTTTGGGGCAGAATCACTTAAAATAAATGGCTGAGAAGTAGCAAGCAATCTTGAAACGGAACGAATGACAATACTGCACCAAAATAAGCATTTTCAATTTTTAGCGAAGAAACAGCGATTAGAAAAGTTATTGAGGGTGCAGCAGATCCAGTTTTATAAGTAAGATAAAAATATGTTTTGTGCTGTTACACTGATCACTGCAGTTGCAGTTCATTGGATCTAACTGTTCCAGTCATTGAATTTAATTGAACTGCGGAACTAGCCTTTAGAAAGAATTCATTTTTGTTGAGCTTAAAAGTTTCACTTTGGAGACTTAAGCAAAATTATTGGAACAGAAATATGTATTACCTTTACATCAGTCATATTTTTAAAAACATTATGTCTCTAAGAAGTACGGTAATTATTTCAGTTAGAATTGAAGAACTACTGTAGGTTACATGATATGAAATCAAAAAATTTTGTTCTTTCCAGAACCTGACTTCACAGTTACGAAATCTGCAAGTGGCGTACTGTTTCGTTTAGTTAAGCAAATTGTGCAGTTGTTTTGCTGTGAAGTTTTACTATATATCATGCACCTGTAAGGCTCATTAGATGGATTCGATATTTCACAGTGGGTTTTACGTCGCGGTTCATTCGGATGGATGTTTTTTTAGGGGAGGGAGGAACACCTTTATTTTTTGTGTTATTTTTGGGAAGTATAGATGTTGTATAAATTTACGCTTACCAGTTTAACATAGGATGGGTTGAATTTTTGCTTTAATTTGACAACAACATTTCTCTTTATCAGCTTCAGAATTTTTTAGTCCAGAAATGAATTTGCTGTGGAATATTAAAATTTTTAAAAGTACATTTTTACAGTCATATAGGTGTAAAACTACTACTAGTTTTTTTCAGTATAATTTTTGAGAAGTATAGAGTGTGCAGTGCTCGGCGCTGGGTAAATCCATGTCTGTCGGTTTACCGTAGGATGAATTAAATTTTTGCGCAAATTAAACATCAGTATTTCTCTTACTGTTTTGAAAATTTATGCTCAGTTCAGAAAAAAATTTAGTTTGGAAAATTAAAATTTTTAAAAATGCATTTTTATGATGTATGTGTATCTTTCAAACAGCATAAAACATTTTTTGTTCATTTTTTCCCTAGAATAGGTACTTTTAGAAGTTTGACTGGAAACGGCACAAAATGTTTTGCAAAACAATGCAGTCAAAGAATGCAGCGGCTTCACAGAACCGTGAACTTCGTAAGAACCATTCTGACATATCGTTCTCGTCGTCTGATTCCTATCGTAATCCAAGGAACTCTGTTTCTTCTGGTATTTTTATAGTTATAATAATAATGATTAAAACACATTCTTTGCGGTTCAGAACTCGTAATTAGGACAGTTGGCTCGTATAAATGGCTATAAGTTGAGATACAAATAATTTCCAATAATTATTTAAATTTTTGAGATTGTCTTCTATTGTTTTTTCTTATTATGAGACACGTTCAATGTCTTCTGTTGTTTTTATGGCTTTTACCCTGCCTCAAGTATTGTTTTTAGACGTGCCTGCTAGTAGTTCTGCTTCAAATCAACCATCTACATCCTGCGATTCATTGTCATCTTTATCATCAATTTCTTCAAAATCTCTTTCTTCTAATATGGCGTCATCCAATATTACAGGTTGCTCAGATTTTACCAAGTTTCTTTTATTTTGTGGAGACGTTTTATTTATTTACTACACTTATTCGTTTAGCTTCTCCTGATATTCTTTTGAACAACAACTGCCTTCATGTTCCAAAAATTCATTCGCTTACTGGACCTGCGGATACTAGTGACTCAGATGTTCGGATCATGGAAAGTAACATCGAACCGCGTTTTAATAGGGTTTTCCGTAAAAGGCCTCAGCATACTATACGGCGATTTAAAAATCATATGCTCAACCAGCCTTATGATGTAATTTTTCATGAAGTGTTTTAAATCTCTTAGGTTTATTGTTTTTTTGTTTCACGTCTTTGTTGCGCTTTATCTGCTGAGGGTGTAAAGCGTTTTAGATTGACATGGGAAAACATTTAACTATGCTCTGCTCTGATCCTGTCAAGTATCCTTCAATTACTCGTTATCAAGCAATGGCCCTACGCGTGAAGGTAAACATTTTTGTCTTTATATTCGTATTTTTGAGTGAGCTGGTTGGTCCCGAAGGAAATTTCTGAGGATTTTTTTCTTTTGAGGAAATTGCTGATCATGTTATAAATAAACTAAAGGAATATGGTTGGGCTGTTGTCGACAATTTTTTTGGACCAGATCATTGCCGCCAGGCTCTCGGGTATTATTCATTATATTTTAGCTTGTTTGCTTCTGAGCTGAAATTTTGCATTTTTAGTAGGGTAATGATTTTCAGCAATATTTACTTTATCTACATCTTTTTTCGAGGCTTACAGCACATACTTTTACCAAAGTCCTTTAGATCATCAGACTTTTTAAATTCTTATTTTTATTTGATAAATAACTTTAGGATTCAGGTTTTTGGAAGTTTTTAGTGGGCATAATTTTGCTAGCTTATTTCTCAGTTTTGAAGTTTGTTAAAAGTTTAGAGAAATGGAGACTTTGTACAATTATGGTCTGTTTTCTCCTGGGCAGCTGTTGGCCAAAAAAAGTATTGTTCAACCCTGCGAAGTAAGGACTGACAAGGTCTGATTGGTGTTTATTATAATATTCAACCTGTTTTTCAAATGGTCTATTTTCTCTTCTCAGATTTGTAGGGATGAAGTTGTATGCTTGCTTGCTTTAGAACTTTTTTAAAACAGTCGCGATGTAATTTCAGATCTTCTGGTTTGATGTTAAAGACAAACGAGTAGCTAATGCGGTTTCTTTGCGTCTTTTGGTTTCAGCGATCGATTCGGTTACTTACCACTTTCAAGACAGGATATATCCGTACAACATTTGTTCAAGGGCCAGAGTAAGTTCTTTAATTTGAATGTTTGAAATTTTCAGCTATGGCTAACATCTTTTGTTTGTAGGGGGCTGGGACTATGATTTTATTTGTCTAAAATAAAATTTTTTTACGCAAAATATTTTTTAGAGCTAGCATAAAATGGAAGAGAATAGTTTTCTGGTTTTCTTTCAGTCCAATTTTGGACAAATGGTTTTTGCTTTTCAGCCTATGATCGCTGTCTTTCCTGGTGGGGGAACACACTACGTAAAGCATGTTGATAACCCAGCAAAGGATGGAAGATGTATAACGAGTATTTATTATTGCAATGAAAACTGGGACGTAGAAAAGGTTACAGAAAATTCCTTTTTATGAAATAAGAGTATGGATATTAGTGCAGTGTTCACTAGGCTTTGTTATTGGTTATGTAAGAATATCGTGTTTGTAGGATGGAGGTGCTTTTCGCTTATATCCTGAAAACTCAGCGAGCCCGATAACTATAACACCAAAGGCTGACAGGCTGTTGTTTTTCTTTTCGGATCGTAGAAATCCTCATGAGGTTTTACCGACATTTCGGAAAAGGTCGGTATTAAAAGTTTTGTTTCTGTGTTTGGATTGGCTATTTTTCACTTAGTTTTTTTAGGTTTGCTATGACCATTTGGTACCACGACAGGGATGAAAAGAATGCAGCTATGGGGAATCGCCGTTTATTGCAACTGCGTCGAAAACATACTGGAATTGGTATTGCAGGCGAAAATTGTGCTTCTGAAGAAACGGGATTAAGGAAAGATTCCGTTGAGATTACTGAGCCACCTACCAAGTGGAAGGTACTTGGTTTTCTATCCGCACTATGGAATGGACCCAGATGTTACTGGCTTTCTAGTAAATTAAGATTAGTTAGCTTCACGAGTATTATGAGGCTCTTTAGTTACTTCATATTTGTTGATTGCTTCAGATTGAAAGGCAAAATCTTCTTGCTTCATCTAATTACCCTGGCAGTTTGTCATACCTTAATGGGTCGTTTTCTTCATTGCGAACTGGCGAGATCTACAGTTCAAATTTGTGTGGTACAACGCCGTCTACGAATTGCCAGTCAAATTTCGTGCTGCGCGCTCAAACGTCGCTAAAAGGAATGGCTGCTTTGGGGCCTAATCCAGGCTTTAATGGGATTGGTGAGTAGTCGTATGGGTTTATAAACATGCGTTAGATGCCGATGAGAACGTTCAATTTTTTATTCTTGGGTTTTGGCCTGTGTTTGCCTTATTTCAATTTTAGAGTGTCATGGTAAATCAGGTTTCGTTTTTGGAAGTTCTCGATCTGCATTCTTTGATTCGCGAAGTAACATTATTTGAAGAGATTTGATTGCGACTTTGTGTCATGGATGTCTAATTTACCTCATCTGAGTTCGAAGCGATTACCGATCCGTTTTTAGATGCTGTAGCCATAGGAACACAGTACTTGTGCTTATGACTGTAATTCATTAACGTCCATGCCTTAAGATCAGCGGTGTTGTTTAAATCTTGTGATGTGTAATATTGCTTTGTACAATTTTTTTATTTCTGAATACCAGTCATGGTGAATTTTATCTGATAAATTGAGGTTTATGATGTTCGACAATTTTTTGCAGTCGTTTACTTGGTCAAATTTATTTTTATTTGAAGTTAAAAATTTTAGTTTTAAACCACATCTTTGTAGTTTAAAAATTTGGATGGGGTCTTTGATCTAAAAAGTGCCTTTCAGTTAAAGAAATCAACCCTGTTTTTTCGTCTTTTTTTTGACTTATCTGATTTCCTTGAAAAGCTATTTTTGTTTTGTTTATTGAAATATTCCGCGTGCAAGTATGGAATAGTTGTATATTACTTTTCGGGTTGTACATAGTTCCTTATTTCTCTTAATTCATTTTAAAAGAGATTTTTCAATCCTTTTTGAAGAGAGCATTAATTAACTGTTATTTGACAAGCGTTAGAAATAGCTTTCTTCAAATTTCAATATTTCTTATACTTAAAGTTGTTCAAAAGCAGTAACTAACTGACATTGTTTGTCATACTAGTATAGGTTTAGAATTTTGTGAAATTTGCACAAAAGTATCGCGTGAGCGTTTTATTTCTTTTTTAGATGTTTTCAAACTCTGGTTTTACGTTGGATTTAGGGCTCTGTAAAGGCCTCATTGAACAAGTGACTTTTCTGAGGTTTTATCACTTTTAATTAACTTGCTTACTGATGAATTGCTCAAAACTTCTATAGCACCTGAAAGATTTTTGAGGCTCTGCGAGCTAAACTTAATATGTATTTAAATTTTTTTAATGTTTTTTTCTGTAGAATCCGCAGTTTAATTATATTTGTACATAAATGCCGCTGAATGAATTCCGAATGCCATATCACTACTGTATGCAAATGTTTGCGAAACAACATCAATTTGTTTTCATTTCCAAAGTTTTCTGTTCAGTTTTTTGGTATTATTATTCTTTATCTTGTTTATCTCCTCATTCGGTTCCCTTTTTTTTTTTT